TGCTCCCGCAACCTTGGCGGCTTTGTCGGCTGCTCTCTTGATGTGCTCCCAGAAGGTGAGCCGTACCACCGTAAGTCGACCCACACCTTCAACAACCGGGCTTGCGCAGATTGCCTCACTCGCAACGTTCTTTTGAAAGTCCCCCCTGAACCACTTTTTCCCGGTAAGGATGACCATCTCCGTCTTGTCGATCGCAAGTACAAAACCGTGATCGCGTAGCTACTCCGACACTATCGCGACTGCCCACCAAGTTTTGCGCTCGGCCTCCTCTCAGGATCTTGCTGTGATGTGCAGTGCTATGTCATTAGCAAAACCCGTCAGCTTGACCCTTGTAGGTATTTCAAGGCGCAAAAGGTCATCATAGACTAGGTTCCATAAGTCAGGGCCAAGGGTGGAGCCCTGTGTGACTTCCAACGTCAGCCACCTCTCTCTTTGTCCATTCTTCGTGTCGTACTGGAGGACACGTTCCTGAAAACAGCTATCCAGTATCTGTCTAAGATAGTCCGGTACATTCTGGCGCCTGAAGACCCTTATTATAGCAGACCATTTGGCCAAGTTCAAGGTGTTTCTAACGTCAAGAGTCACAAGGACATAGGTTCTTCTCGTCTTATGTAAGGGTTTCCATGCCTCCTCCACCGACTCATGAACCTCAGCCAAAGCCATGACCGTCGATCGTCCCCCTTGAAACCCGTATTGATTGTCTGAGAGACTGACTTCCCCTATTAGAGGAGTTTGTATATGCCTCTTAAGCATTTTTCCGGCATTATCCAGCATGCATAAAGGTCCGAACGACGACGTAACCAAGGGGGGTGGCTTACTCTGGTCCAGAAGGACAAGCCTTTAGATATTTCACCAATAGCTAAACAGTCCGTTTCGTAAAGATAAATTAAACATATCCAGCTAAACGTCTTCTTTTTTTGGGCTATGACCTTGAGAACCTCGGACGGCACCCAATCTGGAGCTGGGGCCTTGTGTCCCAGCGTCTCCAATACCACCAATCTCAATTCATCGAGGGTAAGAAGAAGTACCTCACCCACACTTATCTCCTCCCATCTCCTCTTAGGGTACTTCAGTAAAAGACAAGAGATCACCTCCTCCAAGAAGGAAGGCTCTATCGGTGCCACTGGGTTTGAGCCACGCAGTCTCTTTAGCGCAATGCGGTAGCTCAGGCCCCACGTATCTTTATCTAAATTAGTGATAAGCTGGCGCCAGCATCGGTTCTTGCTCACCTTGATCGCCCTCACCAAGGCCTTGTTTGCGTTTTCGTACTTGGCAACAGCTACCTCAACGTCTTCGCAAGTTCTGTGTCGCTGTGCAAGACACCGCAGGTGCAGCAACTCGCCGCGCAAATTTGCAATTTCTTCGATCCACCAGTAGCACGAACTTCAATCCTTTCCAGCAAACCTTTTGGGCATACTCGCATCGCACCATTCCTTAACCTGTCTCATAGTGCCGCTCACGAGTGCCTTGACCTGGGCTGTATTAGTGATTTTGCTCAAATCAATAGGAGGGGACACCTTACTATGGCTCCCTGCAGCAAATTATGATTAAGTTTTGCCACCCAGTAACGTTCTTTTGGATTACTTCTCGTGACCTCTCTCCACAGTTCTCGCTTAACACAAAGCTGACGTACTGGTGATAGCTAGCCGTGTAGTCCTACAGAAATTGCCATTTAGTCACTTGTGCCGCCATTTGTGACAACAAAAGCGTAAGATCGATGATCGTGCCCCGGTTACCTTGCCACCTGAACGTTGCTGAACTAACAGAGTTCATGACTGTGAGATCTGGCCTTGCGGCCATCTCTAGCACCACCCGCCCTCTGGAGTTGGTTCTCGTCTCCCCCCAAGCGATGGCCTTGGAGTTGAAGTCACCAGCCAGGACCACGTTACCGTCTTCCCCACACACACAAAAAGCACCTTCCAGTTTGGCAAGCTGCCCTCTAAAGACGCCAATCAGAATGTTAGGGGAAATATAGAAAATCACAAAGTACACACTCCTACACCTGATCCACNTGCAAATATATAAAAATTCAATTCTTTTGATCTAGTTGAAATTGGTTAACATCAAAAATTTCTTTCCAAACAATATTTTCCATTATCAAATTGCTATCACCTTTTATATAAATATAAATTCCTTTTTTATTTTTGCATATTTATAACGCGACGTACAACCGACCATGCGAAAAGAGTGGTTTTATCAAAAATAATCCAATATTATTAAAACTCTGACCTTGAGATTTATTTATAGTCATGGAAAATGCTAAGTTTATAGAAATTTGTTTTCTGTATAAAATGAAAAGTAATGATGATGAATTTTCTTCGTTCAGAGTTATTGTTAGTATAAAACCTTTTTTTTTTCAAGTTCCTCTATAGTTATAAAATTTTGTTTTAACATTGTATTTGAGTGATTCTGTAATTTGTAATCTTGTACCGTTACATCAGCCATTAACTATACTTAAATTGCATATCAATATAATTTTTGTTCCCTTTTTTAAAATAAAGCTTATATAGAGGTAAGTCTTCATGAATGTTGTTCAGAAATTCAAGCTCTTTTACTATCAGGATTTTTTTTGTGGAGGGAGAAAGAATGTATTGAGACATATCGCAGAGACAGCAGTAGTGTGGGACTCAGTGGATTTTTTTTATAAAACCACTAATACCCACTAACCCTCTCCCCTCATGCCGCGTGGCTTCTGTTCCACCCAGAAACCGTGTTAGCATTACTTCAGGGTGGAGCTACCAGGGACATCATCGTATCTCACAGCATTAGCGAGCAAGCTCGCCACCTTGCTCGCTACCAGTTGCTAAAGATGCCAATCTTCTTGAAACCTGAAAAGAACTCGGGGTCTCTGAGGACCGGCACCCGTTATCCAGTGCTTCATTGTAGGCTGCAACCTTTGCAAGTGCCACTAAATGCTTAATGCTTTTTCTTGCTGATGAGTAAATGTACTTAACGCAGCTTAACTTCGCATTAAACTTCACTTACCGTGAAGACCTTAGTACTTCTGACGGCCTACTCAGGGGGGGGGGGGAATTCCTGCGCAGCGGCTCTCTCCTTTTCTTTCTGTAGCTGGATGACAGACCCGACGAAGCCATCTACTACCTTCCATCCCTCTTCGGTGCATAGCATCTTAGAGATATTGGTTTCAGGAGTGCGTGCCACGTTGAGCCCATCTATCAGCTGATGGCACTCACAGTACCATCTCTCGCACACGAAAAACGTATGTTTGACGGTATCATTCAACGCAGGGAAGTAAGTGCATCTGGGTTATGCTATACACGGCATGCGATGGAGATAGTCATTAAAGTCGCTATGCACAGAGAGGAACTATGTAACGTAGTAATTCACCTCTCCATGTACTCTCTCCAGCCATGGTCGCAGGATTGGCATCTGGTGCTTCCATCTGCCCACACCAGCCTGATTCCACTCCTGTTACCACGTTGTCAACATTTTCTCCCGCCTGTCGCTATCGCTTTCGTCACCAGAGCCCAGGAACTTCGTTCGTGGCTTTAGAGGAAGCAACACAACGAGAATTGTTCGAGCTATCGCCATAGCGGCAGCGAAGGAGACCATGTGATAGGCTCACACGATCCTCAGGGATCCGATGCGCTGCACCAAAGTGAGGCGCTCTCGGATGTCCTTCCTTGCGAGCGCGTCCACCCACACCTCCACGCTGTCTAGCAGAATCGAGTTGGAGACCAACGCAAAAAGCCGTCTTTTGGCTTCCCGTGGACTCACTACGTTCAGCATTAACCGTGAAAGCGTCCCAAGCGGCTTTATCGGATGCTCTTTTGATGTGCTTCCACATAGTGAGCTGTGAATCAATCCACACTCTCAGATAGCGCACCACCAGACTTGCACAGATTACCATACCCGCAACGTTCAGGCGAAAGTGCTCCCGAACCATCTCCGCCTGTTGAGAACGACCATCTCCGTCTTTTCGATCGCCAGTTCGAAACCGTGATCCCAAAGCCACTCCGGCACTATCGCGACCGCCCACCATATTTTGCGTGACCTCTTGGCCGAGTCGAAGGCATTCTTTATGTTGAGAGTCCCCAGGATACAGACGCTCCCCGTTTTATGAGAGGGTTTCCATGCCTCCTTAACCAACTTAATAACCTCAGCCACAGCCATGACCGTCAAACGCCCCTTTCGAAACCCGTTCTGGTTGTTCGAGAGGCTGACTTCTTCTTTCAAGCGAGTTCTTATCAGCCTCTCAAGCATTTTCCACATTTGTCCAACATACCTATGGATCGGAATGACGACACGACCAAAGGGTGGGGTGTATTCCTTGTCCAAAAGAACAAGCCTTTAATTTTCCAACGCTCCCTGAACAGTTCAACGCGCAGGCACGCATTGAACGTGTCCAGCAAAACGTAGCTTTTCCACAGCTATGGCCTTAAGGACTTCGGAAGGCACCCCGTCCGGGCCAGGGGCTTTTCGCCACGGCGTCTCCGATGCCATCGATCTTAATTCATCGAGGATAAAGAGTGGCACTTGTCCTGCTTTTATGTCCTCGCGCCTCCTATCGGGATGCTCCGGAAAGAGGCAAGAAGCTATCCTCTCCAAGAAGGAACGTTCCATCGATGGCGTCAGGTCCAAGCCGCGCAGTCTTTTTAACGCGATCTGGTAGCCCAAGCCCCACCTATTCTTATCCACCTTAGCGATGGGTTATGCCAGTATCAATTCTTGCTGACCTTGATCGCCCTCACCAAGGCTTTTTTTGCTTTTCTGTATGCAGCAACAGCTACCTCGGTGTCTTTGCGAGTTTTGTGTCGCTGTGCAAGACGCCATAGGTGATGTGCCTCTCCGCGCAGGCTATCGATTTTTTTGGTCCACCAGTAGCATGAACGTTGACCCTTCCTGGCTGACTTTTTGGGTATACATGCATCGCACCATTTTTTGACACGTCTCATAGTGCCGTTCACAAGTGCCTCTACCTCCAATGAACTTGTGACCTTGCTCAAATTAGCAGGAGGTGGGGCGCTTACCATGGCTTCCTGCAGCAAATCTCGATTGAGTTTTGTCACATTCTACCTGGCAACGCGCCTTCATATCACTTCTTGCGAGCATCCACCACGGTCCTCGTTTAACACAAAGCTAATATATTGGTGATAACTGGCTATGTAGTCCTCTCGGACTCGCCAGTCAGACACCCGTGCCACCATTTTTGACGATACCATCGTAAGATCGATGATCGTGCTACAGTTACCAGGCCGCCTTAACGTTGCTAAGCCACCAGAGTACATGACGATGAGATCTGGCCTTGCGGCCATCTCTAGCACCACCCGCCCTCTGGAGTTGGTTCTCGTCTCCCCCCAAGCGATGGCCTTGGAGTTGAAGTCACCAGCCAGGACCACGTTACCGTCTTCCCCACACACACAAAAAGCACCTTCCAGTTTGGCAAGCTGCCCTCTAAAGACGCCAATCAGAATGTTAGGGGAAATATAGAAAATCACAAAGTACACACTCCTACACCTGATCCACGCAAAACCGTCTCCGCTTCCAGTGTCGGATATGGAGAGCCTGTTGCTGTGGATCAGGATAGCAGTGCTTTTCATCCTGTTGCAGTACCAGTCTTGGCCCAGTCACGTGCGGGACAGCACATTTATAAAGAGCAAGTCTACATCCCGGGCATGTGCAAGCTGGTCCAGCAGATCGTGCGCGAGTACGATCCTATCAAGGATTATCTGCAGGAATACCGCCATTTTTTCTGAGCTCCTTCTGCAAACGCCCACAGTGCTTGACACCCGGCAGTCTGAGCAACGTGTCTGGTGTCCAGTTTTAGGACGACGCAATCATGCAGATAATAGCTTACTTCTTTTTTAGAGCAGTGACGTGCTACGTGGCCCCTTTCACCACGCCTCCAGCACACGATGGTCCTGACAGGCCTGCCACACTGCCTAGCAATGTGGCCAAAGCTTAGGCACTTAAAGCAGTGCTTAGCTTTGGACTTAGGCCGCATCCTGTAGTTCACCCAGCCAAGCCTTATGTCATGCACCTTATTTAGGATCGTAGCCACCATCGCAGGTGCCTCAATGTAAACTACCCTGTTTCCTCTGACAGTGCCAGACGACAGCCACACCACCATGACAGGGGCCTTCTCTTTCTCAAAACAGCTTCTCTCAGTGCAGCCTGCACATCCTGTTCTGTCACTGTAGAGTCAACGTCTCTTATCTCGTATCTCAAGCGCGAGGCAAGGGTCCTCACGCTTCCAGCTCTCGCCACAGCGTTTTTCAGCACGTTAGCGAAAGCTTCGCGACAGTCTGACTTGGTGTCTCTCAACTCAACGAGAACACTACCTGTTTCTGCCTCCCTGATTGATCCCAAGCCTAACCCAAGCTCAACCACATTGACCCTCTTCATTAGTTCCAGGACCTTGGCATACTTTTTGCCCTCTGCTGGCTTTACGATAATTGCATCAGGCCTGGCCCTCTGACGTCTTTTTTTTAGAGGCCTTTGATGGCTTGGCTTCTGATTTGATGATCTTGTCCTCTCTAACCTTTTCCTTCACTGGTTTCTTTTCCTTTTTTTTCTGGACCTCCGTCCAATTTTCCCCACTGCCCGTTTCACCAACCACGCCGTGCTCTGGTTGCGGCTGAAAGCTTACCCCTCTTGGCTTTTTCGGGGCCTTTTCTGGCGTCAATTTCGGGCTTGGGATTTCTCTTCCTCTCCGTCGCATCCTTTTTTCTTTCAGTTCTATACTGATCTCTGGCTCCTCCGCTTCCTCAAGCTGATCCTGGTAACGCTTAAGGTGCCCCTACAGCCGTCGCTGCTATCCTGACGAGATCCTTTATGGT